CTACAAAGTCGCCAGTTCTCATCTTCCAGCTCCCCAGATACTCCGCGTACTAAAGTTGTACTACAAGAACTGGTTCCAGCTTCACAGATGCTGTGCTTGCCACGAAATTTGCACATGGAGGTTCACGAAGTGCTGCGCCTGCCACGAACTCTGCACATGGAGGTTCACAAAGTGCTGCGCCTGCCACGAAATCTGCACATGGAGGTTCACAAAGCGCTGTGCCTGCCACGAAATCTGCACATGGAGGTTCACAATGCGCTGCGCCTGGCACGAAATCTGCACCTGGAGGTTCAAAGGTGCTGCACCCACCACGAAATCTTCGCCTCGAGGTTCACAAAGCGCTGTGCCTGCCACAACATCGGCACATCGAGGTTCACAAAGTGCTGTGCCTGCCACGAAATCTGCACATGGACGTTCACAAAGTACTGCGCCTGCCACGCAATCTGCACATGGAGGTTCACAAAGTGCTGCGCCTGCCACGCAAACTGGAGCTAGAGCTGTTGAAACTGGAGCTAACTGGAGCTAGAGCTATTGAAACTAGAGCTAACTAGAGCTAGAGCTATTGAAACTAGAGCTAACTGGAGCTAGAGCTATTCAAACCAGAGCTACCTGGAGCTAGAGCTCTTGAAACTGGAGCTAACTATTGCAACTAGAGCTACCTGAAGCTAGAGCTCTTGAAACTAGAGCGAACTGGAGCTAGAGCTCTTGAAACTAGAGCTAACTGGAGCTAGAGCTCTTCAAACTAGAGCAAAGTTTTTTTGCGTCACTGTCATTGCTGCCATCCACGTTTACCAAAAAGTTTTGATGTGGGATATGTTTGACCAGCAATGCGTGTTTGGCCGTGTTCCGTCTGGTTCTTCTTTCTATTGTACTGAGAACCACGTCGTAATTCTATTTTGTTCCCGAGAGCGCCTGCGAAGGGTTCTTCGTAAAAAACATCTGAGAAACAACGTCTCATCTACATCTTCATATCTTCACCTCCCGCGCATCTACATTTTCACCTATATCTCTGCTCATCTTCACATCTTCACATATCTACATGTTCACATCTTCCCATCTGCGCATCTACATCTCTGCTCATCTTCACATCCTCACATCTGCACATCTCACATCTTCACCTCTCGCTCTTCTTTACTTTCTCTCTTAAGGCCGGGGGCGGCGCCGCCGGAGCACCACGAAACGCAACCCTCTGCGGAGATCGCGCGTATCGAGGGCGCGAAACGCAGGCGAAATTGCGATTGGTCGGGCTTCATCTTCGGAGGAAGTCTCGCACGAAACGCTCGTTTTGGAGACTTGGCGCTTCACTTTTGGAGGATCTCGTACGAAACGCTCGTTTTGGAGACTTGGCGCCACTTGGCGCTTCACTTTTGGAGGAAGTCTCGTACGAAACCCTCATTTTGGAGACTTGGCGCTTCACTTTTGGAGGATCTCGTACGAAACGCTCATTTTGGCGACTTGGCGCTTCACTTGTGGAGCTGGACTCAGACCTGGCCAGTTTGTAGTGCGTAGTGCGGGAAAGAGTTTTTCGGAGCTGGACTCAGACCTGGCCAGTTTGTAGTGCAAATGTAGTACGGGAAAAAGCTTTTTGGAGCTGGACTCAGAAGTGGCCAGTTTGTAGGACACATGTTGCACTGGGCGAAATACGTCTGTGATGTCGCAGTGCCATGCGGATTTGCGCGGCCTTGGTGGAAAGTGCGTTTGCGTGGCGCCGTGATACTGGGGAGCGCGAAACATGCTGGCGTAAACGCGGCGTGTCGCTGGTGAGCGGGATGATTGGCGGTATCGTGTGATAGGATTGCTTCTAGCGCGTGGGCAGACCGTGCGGCGAATTACGTCCGTGATGTCGCAGTGCCATGCGGGCGCTGTCGTTGCATCTGCGCAGCTACTTCTACACATTTACATCTTCACGCGCTCACATCTCAGATCTACCTCTCTACCTCCACACACCCACACATCGGCACATCTATATCACACCTGCACATCCACACAGTCACTCCTTCACATCCGCCCTCTCTTTCTTTCTTTCTTTCTTTCTACATATCTTTCTTTCTTTCTTTCTACATATCTTTTCTCTCACCTCTGTACATTTACATCTTCACACGCTCACATCTGCAGATCTACCTCTTCACCTCCACACATCTGCGCATCTATATCGCACCTGCACATCCACACTGTCACTCCTTCACATCCGCCCTCCCTTTCTCTCTTTCTACATATCTGTTCCCTCAATATTTTCAGTCTAAATTCTTCGCAACTTCTTACTCAATAACAGATTGTATAAAGAAGTCATGGCTCTTGGACTCGACTGCGCTGGACAATCACCTGTCTCGCTCTCGGGCCAACCGTCGTCTAGTTTCGTTTTTGTCAACCGTCCACTGCTTTGGCTACCCCAATGTATCGTAAGCAACTGCGGGGTGTCCATTCAACGTATTCATATCGCAACAGCCACAGTGCCATCAGGTGTCGCAAATGTGATCTCAATGGCACAGAAAGTGTCATTACTATAACCCGTCAATACAACCCGTCAATATCTTCCACTTCATGATGTTTGATATACCATATCAAGATCGAATACAATCACAATACATGTGTGTCACAAGTTCTGTCCACAAACCAGCTAGGAGTGAATCATCATGCGCCATGCTTACACACGATCAAACATACTCTTGGAGCGATGGCTTCTGGGCCGGCTCGGCACGTGGGTTCCATCACGTGTATGCATCGGGTCGAACGATTCCGCAAGGTTTTCATGTCCAACATTGATTTGCGGTATCCTTCCGCGTGGCCAGGAACCTGAAAACGCCCCTGAGATCCCAAAAGATTACCCTCGTGGAGTGGGCCAGCCTATTGGATTTACTGGCGGAATAGGGTCGCGCAATGCGCAAGAGTGGCTTTCTCGCTACAAGGAGGCCGCTACCGCGGCTGGTTGCCGATGCCAATGCGACGCTCAGTCAAGCTTTAGAGTTGGCAAGACCCGGACGAATCCTATTGATGCTGCCGAATTGGAGAAACTGGCGCGCGTGATCTACGAGTGGGGGGGAAGAGATGGGAAAACTCCAAGCCGAGGGCCACGCCACGCCACCAGCGCGCTGAGAAGCCGAAGTGCGCATCGGATCGTGAAAAAATCTGCCCGCGCAGAACACTTTCTGGTCGACCTGAGTTCTCCATTAGTCTCCAACGTTCAGTGGTTGTTGGCTTCAGAACCTTGGGTTCCTTTCTTGCGTTTCCTTTCTACTGACCGACGAATGGTAGAAATACAAGGTAGTCCTCCAGCAGAGCCGGTGGGCGGAAGTGCCCCCGCATGTCCCCACAGTCGCAGACTAACGAACTAAAGTCCCAATGTTTCCTTGCCTAGGCCTCGCAGCGCGTAAAGAATTCTCCGGCTCCTGTCCCCACTGTCACAGACGAGCAGCCGGTGACGACTCAATTAACTTATCCTTGCACGGCCCTGACAGTGCGTACAGGAATTGTCTTTCCCCAGGGCAGCTCACAAACTGCAACTGCATCACCCTTGCACAGCCCTGACAGTGAGGCAACAATCCGCAGCTCTGAGGGGTTGGCAGATGTTTGCGCATGTTACGCTTTCCCGCAAAATAAAAAACAAAATGTCACGAAAGATCCGCGGAAGTTTCGCGCATGCCCCGCGAAAGTGCAGGTTCAAAGCTGAGGCCCCCCGAGCTGCATCACTCCATGTTGGCAGCGGGCAGGTTGAGTTGCGCCTGGTTCTTTTCTGTTTGTCGCACAGATGGTGCAAGTTACCCTGAGTGACAACTCTCGACCTTGCGCTGGCGTCATGCTGCAAGGGGCCAGCTCTTATTTTGCGATACAAACATACATATATGGGTCCAGCTCATGTTAACTAGACATGGTTTAGGACCATGCTTCTCGATGAGGCCGCGAAAGGGGATTCCTATCAAAAAGAAAATTGTTTCCTATCAAAAAGAAAATTAATTCCTATCAAAAAACACTATTTCGTATCAAAAATAAAATTCCCCCTACTCCTTTGGCCCTGGTCTGCTGGTTCGCTGGTCGCTTGGTCCTTTGGTCCCTTTGTCCTGGTCCCTTGGTCCGCTGGTCCCTTGGTCGCCTGGTCCCCTGGGTCCCCTGGTCCCTTGGTCCCTCTGGTCCCGTGGTCCTTTGGTCCTCTGGCCCTTTGGTCCTTCGTCCTGGTCTTCGGGTCCTTGGGTCTGTACTTTCGAGGCAAAACGCGTTAAAGGTGATTTGGGAATCTGGTCATACATCCCGTGAAGCACCGTAGCGGACCTTGTATCGCCAGACGTAGCGGATCTTTTTTGTGACCGCCCTGACGGTAAAATTTAGACGAAGAAAGTGCCATTCCAAGGTAGCAAACCTTTTGTGAGCCACCTGAGGGCAAAATTTTGAAGAGGAAGGAGCCATTCCAACGTTGCACACCTTTTGTGAGCCACCCGGGGATAAACTTTAGGTGCCACGCCAAGGTAGCAGGCCTTTTGTGAGCAAAATTTAGAGGAGCAGTAGACCTTTTGTGAGCCATGCGAGGGCAAAATTTACAGGAGCAGACCTGTTGTCAGCATAAACTTTGGAGGAGGAGGAGGAGGAGGAGGAAGGTGTCATTCCAACATAGCAGACCTTTTGTGGTTTTGTGAGCCATCATGAAATTCAGAGAGATCACGGTTGAGATGCAGAGAGGTCTACATCTACAAAGATCCAGAGGCCGGTGTAGAGGTCTAGAAAACCACAGACCTAAAGAGATCCAGGGAGGTGTTAAATCTAAGTTCTAGGAGTCTATACTTGCAGAGGGTGTAGACCGATGTTCAGATCCAGAGATATCAAGAGCTCTTTTCACAGGTCTTCAGATCCATAGAATTCGACAAACGCCACGCAAACTGCCCTACCTTGCAAGGTTCGCAATCGCTGCGCTTGCCACGAAGTCTGCGCTTATTATAGACAGAAGTTCACGCAATCTGCACTTCGAGGCTCACGAAGTGCTGCGCCTGCCATGAAATCTGCAGTTCCAGTGCACAAAGTGCTGCGCCTGCCACGAGCCCTGCAACTGAAGGTGCTCAAAGTGCTGCGTACAAAGTGCCGCTCCTGCCACGAAACCTGCTGCATGGAGGTGCTCAAAGCGCTGTGCCTGCCACGAAATCTGCACTTCCAATGCACAAAGCGCCGCTGCCACAAAACCTGCTATTGGAGGTGCTCAAAGCGCTGCGCCTGCCACGAAATCTGCAGTTCCAGTGCACAAAGTGCCGCTCCTGCCACGAAATCTGCTACTGGAGGTGCTCAAAGTGCTGCGCCCGCCACGAACTCTGCAGTTCCAGTGCACAAAGTGCTGCTCCTGCCACGAAATCTGCTACTGGAGATGCTCAAAGCGCTGCGCGCCACGAAGTTTGCACATCCAGATTCACATCGCGCAGCACTGCCAAGGCGGTTTGCAGTGGCAGGCGCAGCTCTTTGTGAGAGATATTTTGTTTTTGATATAAATTAACTTTCTTTTTGGTAGGATATAGAAATTTTCTTTTTGATATATATTCATTTTCTTTTTGATAGCCCGGCCCCGCGAAAGATCCACGAAAAAAGTGTTCTGCAAAAATTGCCATTCCATCAAGAAAGAATGTTGATCAACCACCATGTACAAAGGAACTTTGATTCACATAAGCGAGATGTTATGTTGAATGGTGTGTCCTCGTCGTTAAAACTTTGGCTTGCACCGAGCTGCGATTGCACTGCTGTGATGTCAGTCGATCAAGACTACGGAGAGCGTTCGGCATTCAGCTGTGGACATCACCACGCAAGCGTATGCAAACCATGTCTCGGCAAAGGCTTCGTTCCATCACAATCAACAACTCTCATTTTTCAATCACCGGGCCGGCAGGTTCCATTTCCTGAACACGTGCCTTTTCTATTGTAGCCGCTTGTAGCCATTTTGGCTGGTTAGCGTGGGTCTTGGTACCGCCAAGTGACCATGGCCGGCCCGGGCGACCTCGCGGCTCATCCGCATGTGTACTATATCCGACTTACTGTCCAACATATCTTGGACGTGAATATTAAGGACGAGACCTTCACTCTAGAATTGGATGTGTACGTCAGGTGGGAGGATGCTCGATTGAGGCCGGCTCATGATGGTCATGTTATCAACGTTTGTATTGTTGATTATACTACTCTTCCAAAGAGATGAAAGGCAGGTTTCTCGCCAAATGACACAGGGTCTCCACCCGGCTTGTGATTCGGGCGCATGAAGGATCGATTGGTTTCAGGCAATGGGAATCACTTTCACATTCACGTTTGTTTAGCTCGAAATCTGTGATGAAGAGCTTTCAGCATCTTCATTCCGTACTCAAATAAGGTGCAGCGTGACGGTTGGTTGTGTCGCAGTTCTCAAAAGTTTACATATAAGTTACATTAAGTTACGATATGCGATATCATTCCTCTCCGGCCACCCAACGCAACTGCCCTCGAGTGTGAATCATGTCGTTCTTGAGGATCGTAAGGTCAATTGCAGTTTCCTTGCCGTCTATATGCGCAGACACATTTTGTCGCGCAGCGCCTGGAAGTCGGATGAGAAAGACAAAAGCCTGGCCGATTGGCTAACGTCATCCAAAAACGGTGATCTTACCCAAAACGAAGCAAAAGAGGCTGCTGAAGGATCAAAAAGAATCCGCCGTGGTTGCATATGGCGTATGATGTCGTCTCCATAGGTCTCCTTGTTCTTCCCAAAATATTCACTCTTCTCCTCTAACTCTCGGCGGGGTCCATTTCCCACCAGCATCCGAAGCAGCTCATGGCGCCGCGTCTGGCCGTGTCTCTTGGTAGGCCACGCAACAGAGCCCCCAAGTCCCCGAAGAGCGGTGATCTAATCTTCGTCACAAAGGTTGCGCTTTTCCTGCGTTTGTTGTTTGGAGTTTGGAGGTGGGTATTTTGTGAATCTTCTCCTCGACAAACCTCTGTTGGTGGACCTCAATCTCCTCAAAGCAATTCATTTCTGTCTCAAGGAACCATGAAGTAAGCCGCTCGTAGCCACTCCAATGGTTCCTTCTTGCACAGGTATCAGCTTCATCTTGTTCTGGGTGACCAGCTTCGCCAAAAGCAGAAAATAGCACGGGTCTCCATGACACTGCTCCATAGCCCAACGATAGCAGGGCCCTTCTCTACCATTGACAGGACCGGTCCACGACGATCCATAGCAGCGCCGCTTCTTTAGCAAGGTAGTCCGCGATCTTGTTTTCCAGGTATGACTCAATAGGTTCTCCGCTGTGTGACTTGGTATCGCGGTGTCCATCTCTTGGAGCATGTGACCTGAAGAATCAGCAGCCGTCACTTCTTGGGAGTGGCTACACGGATTCTAGCCATTTCTAGCCTATTCAGAGTTGGGTCAAGTTCGCTTGCCCTTTCATCAGATGCCTTGTTCTCGAAGTAACAGGTCGTCGGTCAGCGCCAAGTGGAACGCAAGCATTCGGATTGAACACTTCCACAATTGTTTTTTATCGCTGCATGTTCCATGCGCTATCTTCTAGTTCCAGCTGGTTCCGCCGCCTCCTTCCTTGCCCTGATTGCTCTTGCACCATTGTTGGGTTTCCAAATCCAAAGATTCAATGTCGCCCTTCTTCTCCTGCTCCAATTCGGAGTCGGCCTTCCCGCCCAAGATCTCGGGCTCTTATTTTTGCGCTCCACTTTCAAGACCACAGAGCGCACTCTCCACTTTCGCTCGCCGGCAGAGGTGGCGGACCCTCGCCAGCCATTGCTCAAGGGTCCTAGGAGCTTGGCACTCCGCTGTGGGCGCCGGAGGCTGCGACGAAAGGCTTTTTGCCACGCGACAAAGACCCTCCGCTCGATTTGAGATGTGGGCGTGTGAAAGATCGATCGGTTTCAGGCAATGGGTTTCATCGTCGCATTCAAACTGCGATTGTTTGCGCTTTGATTCAATCGATTCCTTTGGTAAGGGTGGCACAGAAAGCCAAAGGCGGACCATCTCTACAAAAAGGATTCGCTTTGAAGCAAGACGCATCGACTGTTTTTTCCCCACATCTCTGTGTGGGGTTCTAGTTTTTTGGCTGCCATCCCGCCCGACTCCGCCCGCCCGTCCCTCCCTCCGTCCCTCGCTCCTTCCCTCATCTTGTGACTTGTGATCATCTGACACACACTCATCTTGTCACTCACTCACTCACTCAATTCACTCACTCACTCACTCACTCACTCAATTCACTCACTCACTCACTCACTCACTTGTGACTTGTGATCATCTGACACACACTCATCTTGTCACTCACTCACTCACTCAATCACTCAATTCACTCACTCACTCACTCACTCACTCACTCCTTCGCATAGCAACGGCTCTCTCCACAGCCTCTAGAAGGGGCTGCGGCGCGCGGAGTCGCCGCTGGGCCCCCCCCTGCGGTCGTGTGCGCTACTGCCATTGTGATTTGCATAGCAACGGCTCTCTCCAGAGCCTCTAGAAGGGGCTGCGGCGCGCGGAGTCGCCGCTGGGCCCCCCTGCGGTCGTGTGCGCTACTGCCATTGTGATTTGCATAGCGACGGCTCTCTCCAGAGCCTCTAGAAGGGGCTGCGGCGCGCGGAGTCGCCGCTGGGCCCCCCTGCGGTCGTGTGCGCTACTGCCATTGTGATTTGCGTAGCAACGGCTCTCTCCAGAGCCTCTAGAAGGGGCTGCGGCGCGCGGAGTCGCCGCTGGGCCCCCCTGCGGTCGTGTGCGCTACTGCCATTGTGATTTGCATAGCAACGGCTCTTGTCACTCACTCACTCACTCACTCACTCACTCACCCACTCAATTCACTCACTCACTCACTCAATTCACTCACTCACTCACTTGTGACTTGTGATCATCTGACACACACTCATCTTGTCACTCACTCACTCACTCACTCAGTCAATTCACTCACTCACTCACTCAATTCATTCACTCACTCACTCACTCACTCCTTCGCATAGCAACGGCTCTCTCCAGAGCCTCTAGAAGGGGCTGCGGCGCGCGGAGTCGCCGCTGGGCCCCCCCTGCGGTCGTGTGCGCTACTGCCATTGTGATCTATAGGCCCAAGGTGGAGGCTGTGGCCGCGGAAGATCCAGCAGAGCATCCGAAGAAGAAGGCGCGAAAGGCCACATGAGGCCACGTGAGATCACAGTTCAAGAGGCATGCGCCTGCGCCACGGTTTTTGAGGCTTGGCCACGGTTTTTGAAGCTTGGAAAGGGATCGATGAAGGGATCGATGAATCCTGTACTTGGATGTGAGCTGTCAGCTGTGAAGGAAAACGCCGTCTGTTTCGCACTTTTGGTGAAATGTTTGTTTTGGGGGGTGGTGAGTATTTCATGCCATGTGATGCATTCACTTGATTCTGCGTGTTCGATTTCTTGCATTGTGTTTGCATTTGCAGTTCGTTGAGTTGCATCCAGTCGTGGTGCATTCATTCGACGAATTGTGTTGGCAAATGGGTCTCTATCTCTCATGCCCTGGTGACAGGCGTGCCGGGCATGCAACAAAGGAGAGCGTTTGATCAGACATGTGGAGAGGGCATTCGATGAGTCAAGGTTGTTTCTTTTTACCAGTATATGTTCCATTTGATGATCAATCAACTAAAGCTCTTTTGTAATCATATTGTTGGTACCCTTGGTGAGTATGCTTCTGTCATCATGGACGAGAAGGAGGTTCCAAGTCTTTGTTAGTCACTGATAGTCATACAGCCATTGATGCTCTTGGTGGCATGTTTTCCATGCATGTGCAGGGCCATGCGCTCGCATGTGGCAGGGCACGCTCGCCACAAAGGAATAACCGCCGCTTTTCTATTCAATCTCACGTGAGCCCTCATTTGAGTGTTGAGTTTGCAGGCTTTAGGCGCCTGAGCCTGCATTTGCCATGTCTGACTCTGACCGCCGCTCTTTCACATTGAAGGAAGTGGACGCTGTGGAGACCCAGGGTTCCAAGTCTCTTTGGATTCCCACCACATGCACTGTGGAGAACACCAAGTTCATCAAGATTTCAAAGTGGGATCGCGGGTTCTGCAAGTTCGCCACTGGTCAGACAATGGAGCGCCGCAGTGGAAAACAATCCAAGTCGGTGAACTACCAATGCCTTGACTCGCTCTTGAAGTTGCGGCGGCAGGCCTGCAACAGTGCGTTGAGGAAGGCGTTGGCCGAGGCAGAGGCCTGTGAAGAACGCCCTACGATGAGCCTCAGGGTGAAAAAGAAGGATACCCAAGCGCGCGAATCCGACAGGGCAATAGCTGGCCATAGCGTGTACTTAGACACGCCAGAGACGCAGCGGACAGCATCGGTGAGAATGCAAGTCTTGTGGAGCGTCCAGTCCCCCGATCTGTGGGTTGAGTACACTCAGGTGAACTTGGAATACCTTCGGTCATGCATCATGGACGAGAAGGAGGCGCAGGCTTTGGGTCGCACTCGAAAGCGCAAGGCCGGTGAAACCCAAGACTCACCAGATGAGTCGCAGAATGTAGAGGACTCACAAGATCCAGAGGAGCAAGTCGCAGAACCTCCAGCCGTGGAGGAGTCCCACGGTTCTGATTGAAGGCGCCGTCATGCATTGTAATTTGTAATTATTCGTTGCATCTGCCAAGTGTTGGCGCTTGAGGGTGGTGTGGATGGATTGGGCCATTGCCAAGCTTGGCACTGTGTATAATTAGATCTTGGGTCATTGCCAGTTGTGTAGATGTACACAAGCAGCAAAGCACTATATATGGGGAAGCAGCCAAAGAAGCAGCCAAAGAAGACGGCTCTTATGGGGATTGAAAACGTTGGCCTAATAGTGTTTTGGTGGACAGTGAAACTGTAGGACAAGGATGGGCAGTAAGCATGTGGGTCAGTGCGATGTGTAGTGAGACTTCTAATTAATTGTTTGAGCTGTTGTGTCACAGTTTTGTTTGCAATTACAAGATCGTAGCATGCAACAAGAATGCGAGCATAAACCCTGCACTCATAATGGCGAGCTAAAGCCCTGCCTGTCGTTGCTCCGGCTCCCGC